GTGAAGCATGGGGGTGGAAACATCATGCTTTGGGGGTGCTTTTCTGCAAAGGGGACAGGACGACTGCACCGTATTGAGGAGAGGATGGATGGGGCCATGTATCATGAGATTTTGGGCAACAAACTCCTTCACTCAGTAAGAGCATTGAAGATGGGTCGTGGCTGGGTCTTCCAGCATGACAGTGACCCCAAGCTCACAGCCAGGGCAACTAAGGAGTGGCTCTGTAAGAAGCATTCCAAGGTCCTGGAGTGGTCTAGCCAGTCTCCAGACCTGAACCCAATATAAAATCTATGGAGGGAGTTGAAACTCCATGTTACCCAGCGACAGCTCCAAAACCTGAAAGATCTGGAGAAGACCTGAATGGAGGAATGGGCCAAAATCCCTGCTGCAGTGTGTGCAAACCTGGTCAAGAATTACAGGAAATGTCTGACCTCTGTAATTGTAAACAAAGGTTTTGGTGCCAAATATTAAGTTCTATTTTTTCTATTGTATCAAATACTTATTTCATGCAATAAAATGGAAATAAATTATTTAAAAATCTAACAGTGTAATTTCCTGGAATTTTTTTGTAGATTGTCACTCACAGCTGAGGTGAACCTACGATGAAAATTACAGATCTGTCCATTCTCTGTAAGTGGGAAAACTTGAAAAATCAGCAGTGTATCAAATACGTATTTGCCCCACTGTATGTTGACTAAAAATAATGGGACAGATACATCGTTCAGTTCTGATTCCTTAGATATAAAATACATTTGACAACGTGAAATAAGCTGCACTTCTACACTTGCTGAAGCAACTGAAAAATGTAAATTCTTACATTTATCTCTGTACAGTGTTTATTTGAAACTCCTCTTTATTCATATTAAATATTAGTGGTTTTAGATTTTTAAATTTAGGTTTAAAAAAAATGAATGGTAGGAATAAGCCACAGTTTTGCCTGTGTACTGCCGATTTTATTACTCATCTACTTTATATTTCACTTGTATTGTGTGGCATTCATATGGATGGCAAAGTAAGAATTTCATTGTACAGTGAAACACTTTCCTAACTGTGCATATGAGAAATAAACACCGACTTTGGCAGAAAGTAGCAAATTGCACAGGTTTAGTGTCAATCACACCTGAATCTGATTACACATTAACAGTCCAAGCACAGAGCAGCGTGAAATTGTCCAATCAGGTGGTAGCTGGGTTCTTCAAGTTAGTCTCCTGTGGCCATTTTGTAAGTTTGGTTGTAGTGCAGATTCAAGAGGGACAAGCTTTTCTGCAACTCGGGTGGGTCACTTTAGAAAATCACAGTAAACATTTCAGGTGTTGTGTTCTGTATGAAGGTAGCACGCAGGTGCTTCGCTGTTAACACAGTTGTCCAAATGTATGTTTTCTATTCCATGTGGGATACTTTATCTAGCGTTAGCCGAATGCTAATGTAGGAAGTTAGCAAACCTCTGCTAGCAAGAAAATGTTCAAGGGTAATGTTAGGTGCCCAGTACTCTGTTGCTTTGGTTTTACATTCCCCATTAATGTTATTGTCTTTCATATTTGATATTAATCGTGCAGCTCAAAAGATGTTGACCTGTTTTGACCTAATCATGTCTTCTTCAACAAGGAAACTTATTGTTTACACCTGTACAGGTATGTGCCAAAAAATTAGAATATTGAGGGAAAGTCCATTTATTTCAATAATTTGTTTCAAAAAGTGAAACTTGTATGTTATATTAGTTCACTACACACAAAGTGAAATATTTCAAGCCTTTATTTGTTTCAATTTTGATGATTATGGATTAAAGACAAAAAAAAACC